CACGAAAACCGAACGGTTCGGTGTGTTTTCAACGTGTTGATGCTATCTAGGCTGCCCTTCAAGCTGTTAGTTTCTTCGTTCGTTGCCAACGAAGCATTGTTACTTGTAAGGCATTTTCTATGAGGTCGTCTCGTAGTTCAGATCAGCACGTCCGAACACGGCCCACGAATGATTTGCGATCTTCGTGGATCACGCAGGAGTCCTCTATAATTGAAAGAGCAAAACACATACAAATCATCACAATTCACAACTACAAATTACATATAACTGGGGAAACAAAAGCGGAAGCCAGTGGAAGCAACTGCTATTCAGACACGCACGCGATACTCACTGAAAATTAGCAACTGGATACTAAGTTAATAGCCGCGTTTCAAAACGCTCTTTATAGCATAAAACGGATAAAAACCGGTACCGATTACTTCATTTGGCTGTACTTGATTATAAATTGCAATAGGAAACTTAACGCCAACGAATGTTGATGATAAAAATGCCAAAGGCACAGAAATTCAGAACAGGGCTTGAGTAAGTATTAAGGTGTCCAGAAAGTTTTGAGAAAATTCGGTCGAATTTTTTAACACAAAATAACTACAGCAATAAACTAAGTGATTGAGATAGTGGCTCTTCTCAGCCACCATGTCTCTCCATCAACCGGACGGGGCATTGTTGCCATCCCTCCAGAAAGAAGAGAGGGTGACGCAATTCTTTCATGTACCACCTACTTGATTTCTCGATTGTTGGTGGATTTTTTCCCTGTAGAGCAAGCCCTACGGGCTTCCGAAAGTATGGCAGTCATATGGGTCGAGGTCAAGTGAATATGTGGGAGCGGGGTGTCAGGCTACACCAAGTCTTTCCAGCTCACCGATCGACGTCCTCGCGTGAGGTGATCGAGCATTTTCCATTACAATCGAAAATTTCCTTGTAATCGGTGTGAAAGAAGGGCTCGAAACACCATGTCTTTAAGTCAGTAATAGAAAACTCTTAACAGAACACTTTCCACCACACTTCACTCTGGTAGGATCTCCTCGTGAAACATCAGGTTGAGCAGAGGGAGAATGAGCTCATTTCTTTCATGAGCGCCTCGCTTTATAGCGGGCTGTGGCCTTACGTCCGCTGGTAGGCATTGCTATTTCCTGTGTGGATTTTCATGTGACATCTACTTTCTATCTTAAGCCATAATGAGGTCGCTTGATGTCGTCGCTGCTCACAGTCGAGGAGCTTCCAACACACACTGTCTCGTACTCGACGCTCCTGCTCACAAGGGAAGGATTCTAGGTCGCAGTGGCTACTCAACATGAGATGTATAACGACGTAAGTGTTTTCAAACGCTGATTTCAAATCTGGGTTCCAAATCTGCGAAACGATTGTGGGAACAAAGTTATGAGCTATTGTTTCCCCGGGTGCTGCTTTTATATGCGACCTGAGGAGTTCCGAACATGCAGCGATGGCCGAGTTGGGAGGACGATGGACTGGTAGGCGCGACACGGAGTTTTAAACCCTTGATGCATTTGCTTCTTTTATAAAAAGTGTCCTAAACGCTTGCATAACACATTTACGCATCATATAGACCACTTACAGCCCTCCTTCATATTTACGGAGCACCAGTAATGCTAATATACCGAACGAATACGGGTGCACTATAAGTCCAGCAGGGAAGAGCTGCGAAAGCTTTGCTCAAATTAGAATTGCGAAATTTTGAGCAAGATCTGGAGGATTTGACAGAAACTCACGATCAAAGCATCCAATCAATCAAAGTGCTCCCAACATATTACCAGCAATATGTTCTGCCCGAAAGTGGTCGTATCGCATTTGCGCATTTGTTTCCCGCTCTGAACTGGAGATCAGGGTCAGTACAGCCCGAATGATGTGCAAAGAACTTATACTGGAATGGGTCAGATCATGCGTTGAATCAATAGATTTGCCTTCAAACTTACTGATCGTGGACTCATGGAGCCCGTTCAGGGACCATGAAGCGATTCAGAGTGTTTTGCCAACTGGCAAGGAGGGAAAGTGCTCAACATTCCACCTCCCAAAGGGTTAACTTCCCAAATTCAGCCTCTCGATTCTCGAAGCTATGTATAAGCGTGTTGTCTCTTTCGCACGCCTTATCTCCCCAGGCTACAAGAAAATTTTAGTTGTATTATCATTTCTGATGCTCCGTAAATATGAAGGTCTGTAAGTGGTCTATACAGTGCGTTTCATAATTATAAGGTCACCCTCAATTTTTGCACTTTCAAAAAAGTAGTCATTAAGGATTTTTTCTAGCATCATGAATGGATTCCCCAGCACGAATAACCTAGGTATCCGTTTCTTAGCCGCTGCTGCATTCTTCTGAACTTTTTTAGAACAGTTTATCGGGTTTTGCACCGTTTCATAATTATAAGGTCACCCCGAGAAAGTGAACAATTATTAACGAAAGAGAGGAAATTTCGTGTTTGAAGATACTTGTAAAGGTAAGCATGTGTAGCAAAGGCATTTCTAAACCTGACTGTCAACATGGCTCATGGTCATCTGCTTTCCTCTGATAAGAAGTTTCATCATGAAAGTGGGCTCCGTACTCGAGCCGAGCCAGGCAAGTAGAGAGGTTCCCTTGGTCCATTCGGAGATTTCTAGAGAGTCCTCATGTCGTTAGATATAACACCGACTGTGGATACCCATGAAAGATTACTGCGCGTGACCAGCAGAAGATTCTGAGGACTGTTTCCAACAGTACGTCCTTCTTGAACCAGATGCGATCGGAATTAAACCTCTCTGTTTCGAAAACTGCAGTCTGGAGAGCAGTGAGAAGATGCAGGAACATCACCAGGCAAGCAATGGAGAAGGTGCCACGAATTACCGATCGTCACAAAGAGGCTCGACTCGGATTTGCAAAGATGAACCTAGGGAGAGATTGGGCAAAGGTAGATCTGCATCAAAATCTCACCACAGAGCTGAATAATTCCTATTCAGGTCGTCTTTTCGGGTGAAAAGAAATTCAATCTGACGGAAGCAAGCGGTACTGACGCGACTTGAGGAAGGAACCAGCCTACTTCGGCCGTCGTAATTTCGGTGGAAGAAGTCTATGGTGTAGGGTGCATTCTGCAATGATGTCGTGTTGGATCTAGCTGTCGTGAGCTGCAGTATGTATTGCAAGGATTACAAGAACGTCTTGGAGCATCATCTAGTACCCTTTCTATGCCATCGCCGTCACCTCAACTATGTCTTTCAACAAGACAACGCCTCCATTCATGTGAGCCGTGCAGCGGATGAGTGGCTGCAAAGCCAATAAATAAGCATCCTGCCATGGCCATCCTGCAGTCCCGATCTCAATCCGATGGAACATATCTGGGGCATAATAGTCGGACAGGTTTATGCGAATAACCGTCAGTTAGAGCACAGAAGAGCTGAAGCCGGCGATTATCAAAGCATGGGAGCAATCGATGAGGAAAATCTTCGAAACCTAGTTTCTAATATGCCACGCAGGCTCTTTGATGTTGCTCTTAAAAAAGGAGGAGCTATAGATTATTAACTGTTGTACATATGCCATTAACATTGATAAATCACTTACTTTCTCAGGGTGACCTTATAATTATGAAACGGTTCAAAAGCCTACACTACCTTTAAAAAATTCGTAAAAAATTTAAGGTGAAGGATATTGCGACCAAAATTTGAGTACGGAGGTACATTGTGACGAGGAATCTACCAGTGTTTGCCAAAAAATTCCATTCTGGCTGCTTTCTCTAGAATCGGAAAAATCTGGGGTGACCTTATAATTATGAAACGCACTGTATGATGAGTAATCCTCTTTTGCAAGAGTTTAGGACATTTTTTATAAAAAAAGCAAAACAATCAAATGCATCAAGAACCCGAACCTCCGCGTCGCGCCTTTCAGTCCATCGTCCTCCCAACTCGGCCATCGCGCATGTTCGGAACCGTTCGGGTCTTCTATAAAAGCAGCACAAGGGAAAAAAGGCTCATAGCGTTTTCCCAGAATCGTTCCGCAGATTTGGAACCCAGATTTGAATCGAAAACAAATATGTCGGTATACATCTCATCTTGAATGGCCACTGCGACCTAGTATCCTCCCCTTGTCAGTCAAGGAGTGCGCGATATTTGGAAATAGTCCTGCTTTGAAAGCGACTTTCGTGAAAAAGTCGTGGATGATGGAACGGAAAGTAGAAATAGTATCTACCATTTCCTGATTTTCTGAGACTTCGAGGAGGATTGCTCTAACGACAGATCAGAACAGTGTCGGTGTTTGAGGACAGTGTATGTTCGCCTCGACAAAATTCGTATAAGCAAATCTCTTCTCAGAGAAAGCGATCGTGCCATTTATGGTAGGTAACAAGAGAGGGTCACAGCTGCCAGGCACCATGTCTCATTCCACGCCTGTGTGTCGAAACGATCAGTTTCGTCACGGTGAAGCGAAGTCTCCTGTAGTCGTATCGATGGCACATCGTTCGGTCGACGATTATTCACTTCGGACGGACGAGTATCGATCTATCAAAACTGCCCTTTCCCCGCTATAACCCTTAGTCCACTATAGTCCTGTAGTCCTTCTTTAGCGCGTTCGCGAGCAATGCTCTCAAAGTTGAGAGGCAGAATTTCCTCAAAACTTTCCGGACACCCTAATATCTGAAAAAGACCTGTCAATTCTAGGCACACGAAAGTAGGTGGATGACTCGAAACCAGATATCCACAGAGTTCAACGCATTTCGATGCAACTACCGTTCACTCGACATCAAACGATTCGTACAGGGCTCGAAAGAGTGAGGAAGCATGCAGCGAAAGAAAAGCCTAAGGCAATGAAGGCAAATTCACTCAGAACGGTGTTCGCAATGCTGTCTGGCTCTTTGATACTCGTATTGCTACAATATGTGACAGCAGCGCAATTACACGATTCCACGGATACCAAACCTTCCAGGACATTTCAACATGACTTACATCCAAGTGAATAACTCTTTTGTAGCTGACTGGAGCTGCCCGCCTACATAAATATTACTTCCTACAAGAACAGAACAAACCATTTTGTGTTGTCATTAGACTATCCGTTTGACGTCGGCCAGTGATTGGTCGTGATGCGAGAATAGAAAGATCACATCGTTGCTCATCAAGACGAGCTGACTGCATACGAGACAGGAACTCGAAAAATGCGTCATCAGCATTCGTGAATTCGAGATTTGATGCCTATAACAGCTTGATTGATTAACGAAACGAGCAGGAAATTAAAGCCTTGAAAAGTTAGCCAAACATGCCTCTACTGTTTTGCCATTATGAGCTGCAATAATATCATTTCCAGTCATAGAAGAAGGTTGGTCAGTGAATTTGATCTCCGTGCTACCCAGCCCATTCGTTACCCAACAGAAGTGTGTCTGAGGTTCAGGATCTTCAGAACTATCGAATCGCAGCTGAAAGGATTTAAATAATATGCAGATGTTAAGTAGCATCCATATACTCCCCATGCTAGAAAAACAAAGGTAAGTACAAACAGAGAACAATGATTTAAAGAAATAATACCGGAATGTAAGCATTTGCACATACTGCATTTACGTTTTCCCCTCGTAGGAGCTCTGCCTACATAAGTTGAAACCAACATAACTGATGCGCTAGAAAACCCACAAATGACTACAGACGCGAAAGGTATAGTTCATGAGTACTGCATCTCGATAACAATCAAGAGCTGATTCGAATTCATTCCGTTTGGAGGTGAAGAAGTGATTTATCGTATATGTACACATGCCATCTGATCACTTTTACTCTGTCGTGCACCTTTCCTATATTACAAAGCCGCATGTGCTACGATTTCAATATTACCAGCACGATTTGTACAAAACTGGAGTGGAAGGATTATCAAAATGATCACCTGCAAGAAAGAGAAACACTACGTGGTGCAAGTCAAGCAGTCAGCATTCAGGAGTAAAATTAGTAGATCAAGCTTTTACCTGCTTTACAACCACTCAATATCCGGACAGCGCATAATTCTCCGAATTCATCATTGCGCCCGTAAAAAGATTAAGCAAAAATCACGACCCACGCGTAACCTCTTTTGGTATTACTTCCTAATGATTTATCTCAATCAATTCACCTGATTGTCAATATTTCAGCTTATGAAACTCCTGAGAGAGTGCCTATCGTGCAATATATTCAAATAATTGTGCGAGTACAATCGGCAGGTTTGGGAACTATGAAGTGATGAGGTAAAGCCTTGCTCTGCAACTCGCAGTAACATTCATGCAATAACTTGGCAACCTGTTATAGAGCATAGACCTGTCATCGTCGAGGACCCCCTGCTATCATGTAAGCGCCCTGCCCCCGCTATCAATTGGGGCGGGGCGCGGTGGAGGTCACTCTCCATCTGGCTTCGTTAATTTTTTGTACCACTTGCAATTCTGCTAAGCGTTGGGAACGATCAGCCCGCCCACGCTCATATCTCTCTCGTCACGATAAACGTTTTGAACCACCGTTGTTTTATTGCTATTGAAAGGGTAAACACGCGAGACTTCACGCACCCATCCTGGTTATCCGGTGCATCGGCCTAACAGCCAAATTGCCCGCGCCGAAGAGTAACATCTTTGGAGCCTGGAACGAAGAGCTCTCTCACGAGCAAACTTTCAAGGTCTTTTCTAACAATAAGACCCAGAATCTTAATTGATCCGCCCCTCATAAGGGAAGCTCCCGCACCACGTACCTGGAGACATCTTCTGTACTTATTTTAGGTCAGAAACTCAACTTTCACTTCGGAAATCGCGCAAAAAAATGGCGTTGCACTTGCACAAAACTCCATTTAGCGCAAAAACGCTAAGATGTATGGTCTCCGCATATACGGAGTACACAGAAAGGTAGATTATCACACAATAGATGAGGACAGCTACGAGATGCGTAAAGAAACAACCTTGCTGCTACAAAGCGGTATAAATCGAGTGAAAGAAAGAAGAGAAAATCTCACAAAACTTTACAAAGAGATTAGACAAGAATACAGCAAAAGTAAGTCCGACAAAAAGGAAATAATGTTGGAAATCGAACGAATCGAGAGTGAGTCACACTTACACAAAGAACTGGGCGCTGCAGATGAACTTATCATTTTAAGCGCACGCTATAATGAATGTAAGAGCGCAATGGATCGAAAACTCTGAGTGTAAAACTCGGCTACGTTTCTCAGAGATCCCTAATACTGCTAGATACCTCATATGAAGTTTTTCACCAGATCATCAAGTACAGAACCACATTCACGTCGAGGCAACCCAAAGTATAGAAAGCAATCATTCACAAGGTGCGCCTAGTGCAACTACCACTGAGATGACTAACGATAAGTTAGACCTCTTCGCTCAATAAAGCCTCCCCAAGCAACGCTACCGAAATTTTATGGAAATGCTGAGGATTTCCAGGAAGACTGGGCAATTTCTGAGACTCTCGTTCATAACAGTCACGAATTGGACGTTATGGAGAAAATCTTGCTACTGAAAGAGTGTCTCAAGGGGGGGGGGCACGAGCCTCCATAAAAGGGCAAAAGCCCTCATAAAAGGAATTAAGCTGATACCACAAAATTACGAGTGGATTATTCAGACCCTAAAGAAAAACTACTGCAACCAGCCTGCAAATAGGGCACAGGTGGTGTTGGCACAGTTGCTCAGTCGTTTTCGACCAAATCCGGATATTAAATAATCAGATGGTGTGCGCCGGCTATGACGTGCGCAAAACCTGTGGCCCTATGTGGAGTGACACAATACTAGCAGTTTCTCCATGATATAGTAAAAACTGCCCTACTTGCGAATCATACGCAAGAAGGGCAAACAATTGAGGACCTCATAGGTCATCTGAAGAAAGAGATTGCCGCTAAGGGTTACGTGGAGAACAGATTGGGCCCCAAGCCTGATATCAAGGGCATCGCTTCGAAAGATAAGTACGTCAACTCACGCCCTACTCAAGCGACCAATGTCTGTTGTGTCATAAGGGTAATCGTGCCTCATTAATGTGCAGAGCTGTAACCGATCAAGGGAATCGCAGAAAAATACCAACAGACGGTCGCAGCTGTTGGAAATGTTGCTCTCCCAATCAAAGCAGTTTCGACTGCCGAAACCAGATTGTTCCAAATGCAGACAAAAGCACCATTTGAGCCTATTCTTCAAAAAAGAAGGTACGCAGAACAGAGAACAAGCGCCTAGGAACGACTTTGACGACTTCGGAACAGAGTTCAACCCCCTCACAACTCGTCCCAATGACTGCAAAGGGTAACGTTTGGAATCATAACAGAGGGGAATACGGAAAAGTTCTTTTTCTTTGATTCCGGCGCTAAAGACTGTTATTGAGGAATCACTCGCAGACAGCTTAGGCGTGCCAAAAAAAAACCACTGAAATCTGCACAATGTCAGGAATAGGAGGCCATATTGAGTGCTTCAAAAGCCACAGTGCAAAGGTAAAAATAAGCTCAGTGTATGGTGAAGAACTCGAACTGAAAATTCAAACAAACCAGTTATCACTAATGGTTTCCTGAGCGTCAACCTAGGCTCTATCGATGTTGCATTCCTAAAGGCGAACAGTATCTGCTTGTCTAACTCGAAACTTCGTGGTGAACGGCAGAAACCACATATTCTAGCGGGATTAGATCACTACCATGAGCTGGTAACAGGTCCGATCAGTGTCGTGAAAACCCCTTGGTCTCCATTAGCGAAAACTATGTTGGGATTCACCATTTACGGCTAAGGCGCTCTACAAACAGAGGCCATGAGCCTACTGCATCCTATGGAATGACCCCTTTTCAAGAAAACACTGTACAGGAAATCCTCCAAAAACTATTTGAATTGGATGGGCTAGGAATTATGCCTGATGACGGTCAAAGGAATGAAAAACGCTAGAGTACCGAGCGAAATACTCAAAAAAGGTATCTTTCTCTGGCGGATTCATTACCGCGCCATTTCCTCTAAAAGTCAATGTTTCTCAGTTGGAGGATAATGACGGCATGGCCATACGCCGTCTCGAGACACTGCAAGTGGCACTACAAAGAAATCCAGAGCAATGCCGTTGGTATATAGATATACTAAAGAGATATGAAAGAGAGGGCATGGTCGAAACCTTTTCTGCCCAGTGTGGCGGGTCAGCCGGCGTCTACTACATGCCTTATGCAGGAGAGTGGAAACCCAGCAAAAAGGTGCCCCTGGAATAGTATTCGACGCTCCCTCAAAAAGGAAAGGAATTGTTCATCATTAAAATTCACGACATACTCCTGACGTCGCGAGCTACCAAAATCGTACTTATTGAGGCAGCGTTTACCCATATCCGACTCGTGGATCATCATAAGGACCTGTGCAGGTTCCCGTGGTTGAAAAAGATCAGCCACCCTCCCACAAAAGACAATAATCTACTACCGATTTCGAAGGCTCTTCCTTAGAGTAACAGCGTCACCAAGTATACCAAATATTGCGCTAATAACTTACCTGAACAGCCAAAACTCAGACCTGGGTAAGGAAATTTCACAGAACTTATACGTAGACAATATCTTAATGTCATCCGAAAGTACGCATGAGGCTCTACGAAAATATCGAGAGTCGAAGTTCATGTTCGCAAAGATAGGAATGAATTCGCGAGAATACATATCTAATTCAACCAGACTCGAATCTGGTCCTATGAAATTGCTTGGAGTTAATTATAACACCGAGATGGACTCATTCAGTTTATCTACTCGGGTTCCAACAATGAGTCACCTTACGAAAAAGGACATTGTGCGCCGAATAAATTCAGTTTACGACCCTATTGGTCTGGCTGGACCACCACTAGTTCGGCTGAAGTCAATGATGCGGGTTTTTTAGAAGTTCAAGTTTCAAGTTCAAGTCAAGTTTTCGAAATGGGAGTTGGCTGGAAGACAGTCCTGTCATTACATGTTTGCAAAGGATGAAATCGATTATCTTCTGAGGTTAGTAACGCTTCCATATCTGTGCCTCGCACATTACCTAAAAACCTCTGGGATGACAAAAAGCGCCCGTGGGTATTTGTCGACGCAAGCAACGCAGCAATCGCTGCCTGCACTTATCTACAAGGTAAGACGACAAACCTCGTGTAACCACTTATTGGAGAAAGACAAAACTGACTCCAAAAAAGACACGCAAAACCATACTTAGGTTGGAGCTCGTCGGAATTCTTTGGCAATCCGGCTAAGTCAGTCCGTACTGTCCGTGATGAACACGCAAATCAAACGTATTTCAATCGTTTCGGATTGTGATATGGCACTCTATTGGCTTAAAACATCCAAAAAAGTGCCTGTATTCGTATCAAACCAAAAGGATCGAATATTGAAAATCAAGAACCAAATTCAAGAAAAATGCGTTGCCCTGTCCTTCACATGTTACAACGTATCATAACTCGGCTGACGCCGGTACAAGAGGGTTATCGGCTCAGCAAATCAGCAACCATGACT